ACAGAAACACGGTGTGACTGAAGCTTATTGCTGTAAATTGAACACTTTGACGTGCTAGGACAATTACTATGTAAATCTTCACTGGAAAAATGTTGTGTCGAGGTAGCTTTGTCATGGGCTTGTCAGCAGCTGGGTGCCCACTGCGTGCTGTAGTTTCTTGCATTAAAGAATGAGAAGGAAAAGTCAGATCTGCTAAGAGAGCATGTACTGACAGAGCTGGTAGAAGAAAGGTTGCAAGCTGATTCTATTTTGCTGTAACTTACTCTTTCTATAACACGAGAAAATTGGAGGTGGTCTACATTTATGATGAAGTAACTGCTGTAGGAGGCTGCTGCCTTGTTTTCTAAATGCAGCAGTGGGATGTCTGAAAGGCATTTAACTTCTCCTGTGCTATTATGCTTCAGAAAGTGCAGTTTAAAAGGTAGTTGATGTGTCTAGAAAGCACAGACCCTGGTAGCTGGCCAAGACATTGTTATTGGCATCCTTTAACGTGCATAAAATATTGCAGTTGTTTTATCCATGGGGTCAAACAAATTGCTGCTTTTATGAATCAACTTTTGCTGTGAAGTGGCTGAAATGGTGCCAGCACTCTCTCCTTTATGATCATTTTTGAAGCCCATTTTCTTTCATTTGTTCTACACAGCTGGTGGATCTCTGTACATTTCTGTTAGCAGAGAAGCAGAAAAGATGCAACATGTTGTGGTTCTACATCTTTAGTTAAGATATACAATATTGTAGGATTTTTTTTTTAACCTAAAACTCATCAGGGCATTAACAGAGCTGTCTCTATGCCTTCAAAAGAAATGATGTCTCTTGTTTGTTTCTGCCCAAGGTCAGTTTAAAGTGTTTCACAGTGAGTTAAAACATGTGATGGCCCAGTTATAATAACATAATGTAGGAATGGTGTTTAAGATAAGCAGGCTGTAGAGAGTTCCGTTTGTCAGTTCTGTATGCTTAAGATTTTACTATACAAATAATTTATTCATAAATTCTACCATAGCTTTTTATTAAATAAATAAATAGTGATTTCATAGTTGCCAGTTTCTGCTGATGTTTGTGTTAGGTCCTTATAATAAACAGTATTATATAGCTCTTTCCTATTTCTCAAAACATTGGGAAAACAACAGTATTTTTGGGGTTGCTGAAACACAGCTATATGGGAACAGTTTGGTCATAGACTAAATCAGTGATTGAGCACCTGGTGAAGGCATGTGATCAGCTCTGTAAGCACTGGTGTGAGCAGTTCACCTGTGTGACTAGAAAGAGTGGACTCTGGGTCCATCCTTCCCTTACCTCATCTAAGGGGTGGCAGCCACAAGGGAATAGTTTCTCTACAAGGAGATTGCCTTCTGTGGAGTATTTGGTGAGCCCGGATCCTTGGAAAGGAATAAGCTGTTCCTTCTTTATTACTGAATTGTTACCCTGCCTTTCTTTGGTGTTCTGCATCTGGTTGAAGGCAACCATATCTACTGGTACCTGTCCTTATAGCAGCTATGCTTGAAGTGGCATATCATTACAGAGTCATAGAATTGCAGAGATTAGAAGGGACCTCAAGATCATTGCATCTAACCCCCTGTGGAAGAAGGTACTCTATGATGGGTTGTGCAAGTAGGCATCCAGATGGATCTTGAATATTTCCGTAGAAGGAGACTCCACAACCTCTCTAGACAACCTGTTCTAATGCACCATCACTAGTTCTTCCACATGTTTACGTGGAGCTTTGTATATTCAAGTTTTAGGCCGTTGCTCCTTGTAATATCGCTGTACACCACCAAGGAGAGCCTGGCCTTATGGATTTGCCTCCTGCCTCCCTTTAGATATTTATAAATGTTAATCAGATCTCCCTCAGTCGTCTTTTCTATAGGCTGAACAGACCCAGGTCACTTAGCCTTTCCTCCTACAGGAGATGCTCCAGGCTCTTTATCATCTTTATGGCACTCCTCTGCATTCCTTCTAGGAGATCCCTGTCTTTTTTGAACTGGGGAGCCCAGAACAGGACACGGTATTACAGATGTGACCTCACTAGGGCAGAGCAGAGAGAGGGACGAATCACTTCCCTCAACCTGCTGGCCATGCTCTTTTTATTGCAGGATGCCATTGACCTTGGCCACATGGGCACGCTATTGTCTCACGGCCAAACTATTTTCCACCAAAGCAGCACACAGTAAATTGTCCAATTATTGGGAGGGAGGGGGGCTAAAAATAAGAGGAAGATATTTTGGCCAGAGAGGAAATTCTTAGTGCTTTGAAAATTAGTTTGGAAACAAATCATGCCCTGGTGTCCTCAGTTCTTAACATCCCCCATGCAAGTCCATAGAGTACAAAAGGTAGTACTGTGTTGTTAAATTTGGTAAGAAATACCAATTAAATGCTCAAATAAATTGGAAGAAAAGTTTATGGAATGAAAGGCAAGACTGCTCAAGAAGAGCAATATCTGAAAGTGCAATTCAAGGTTGATAACTTTTTATTTGTGGTGATAATCTTGAAAATACCATTGCATCTGATTTATCCACAAGTTTGGTGCCAGTGGAGCTATACTGCATTGTCATATTAATTTTTCTTGTACGCACACACGTTTCTGTATAATGTTTGCTCAAGTCTAAATTGTTAATGCAGTTACATAATTATGAAGATTTGAGCAGGGGAATTGTATAATGTCCTTTGTACAGTACTTGCACGGCACGGAAAAATACAATGAAAATTATGGAAGAATAGTCAAATAATGTTCTCTAATGCTAATCTTGGATTGTTATGCTTATGTCAGTAAGGGTAATGATGTTGAGTTTACATGCATACCCAAGACTGATTATTGAGAACACTATCATGATTTTAATACAATGGAAGCTGAAGCAAAAATTAAAAAAATAATAATAATTTAAAAAATCCACTGATTTCAAATATTTTGTCTATAGAACTGAGGGCAGAAAACTTATTAAATGTCATGGGAGCTTTTTTTTTCCCGAGTCTGTATGTTAGTATAAATATACACACATCTCATTCAAGTGATCTAGTTTACAACATATGCAAAATTAAGCTGCAGGCGTCAAATGACCTGTCGTCATCTTCATTCATCATTCAAATCCACTTTGTTCTCACAAATAATTTTACTTGTTAATCCAAGTGAAAATACTACCAGGGCAGAAACTGATCCCAGTGGAACCCAGCTAAAAATAGCAAATACCTTCCCAACAAAAATAAAAATAAAAAATTGGAAGACCTAGCAATCACACCTTTTTATTCAATCCACACTGATTTTTGTCTTTTTAATTTTTTAATCAGACAGTGATGTGACACTGGAGCTCTCAATTAATACATTTGCCTGTTCATGAAAGATCTGTTCATGAAAGAGAGAGTATTAAGTAATGTTGATTCACATCAACTATGTTAATAATCTTTTCTGTATTGAATTAGTTCTTCGAGCAAATCGTGATTTGATTGAAACTGTCTGGCTGAACTGCCTGCCTTTTTAAATCAACCGTCCTTTTTTGAAGTTGATCTATGATTTATTTTTTGGATTTCCTAGTATCCCACATTTAAACGTATCCAAAGAACACACTGACTTTCGCTATTCTGTCACTTAAGTTGGAAAAACACTTAGCACTGTGTATTCATTGAAAATTGCAACACATTCAAGTTGAGGCTGGTGACCAAAATACATGTGTGCAAGTGTTAGGATTTGCAAGATAGCTAAGAATTGGGTTCCCCTTTAGAAAGAACATATTTTTTAGAAAGAAAAAGCATTCTGGAGTTTGAGTATTCATTGTTATGGGTTTGGTTTTGGTTGTTTTTTCTCCTCCAAATGAGATGATGAACTTTTGAATTTTAGAAACCTACCTAGGGAGAGCTAAAAATACTACAGGGAAAATCTTACTTTCTGGAAAAGCATAAGATGTATGTATTCTAATCGGATATTATTGTTAACAGTGGTGGTTTTCTTGATTTGTCAGCTGACTCAGGTATCTGTAATCGGTTCCCTTTGTTTTACTCCATCCTACAGCTAAGTAGAAGAATTTTTACATGCTCTTGTAGAGTAGCTGTACGTTTTGCAGCATGTGTATGTTCTCCCAGCAAATTGCTTACTGAAATATTTCCATGAAGTTATTTATGCAAATGGATAGTCATTAATTTCATTGTTTCCATGGTCTAGGAAGAAATGGCTGACAAATTTAAATATTATTTTTAGGAAAACATTTAAATAATGATTTTCAAGTAACACTTGTAAACTAGAAATGCCAAACTGGCTGCAAATATATGTAAATCAACATTATAACCTATTGCAGTATTTGGTATGAAGTTATTTTTTCTAAAAAACACTGATGTTTGTACTTGTAAGTGGGAAGTCAAAGGTTTTGTCTGCTTTTTGTTGTCATTTTATCACAAAGCAGTTTGTGCGTGTTTGTATGGATACCTTGGTCAGAGTGTAATTTTTTCTTGGAGAAGGTGCAATCATTCAGTTTCACTGTCCACCTTGGATGTGGTTGACAATGTAGTGCCGTGCTGTTGATAGAACGTGTCCCTTTCCTCCTTCTTTTCTTTTTCTTTTTTTTTTTTTTTTAATGCAAAAGATAATGATTTATCCATTTCAGTTACTAAGCATTATTATTGAAGCATTTTTCAGGTATTAGGAGAAACTGAATTGCAAGACCATTATTTGCTTTTCAAGAATAAGGGGATTCTTTGCATACACACACGAAAACTAGTTACTATTGAAAACATAAGTTTAAGCACTGTTACTAAGTTAGATACTGTTCAGTTAAGATGTCAGTGTAGTTTACATTTTGCTATTTTTGTCAGTTAGCACCTTCAGAATGTGTTGCTGCTGCTATATGCACAGCTTTTAGGATTGTTTTGGATATCTAGATGGGAAGCTGGATTTGTACTTGTGGATACTGTTAATTTGTGTTGAGAATATGGCAGCTGAGAGGCCAAAATTGTTGGCAGTAAATGCCAAGGCAGACTTTTCTGTGCGCTTACACAACTGTTCTCTTCTCTCTCTCTAGCTGTAAGCACAAGGTGTACTTGGAAAAGCTACCAAATACCAGCATAATTATCCCATTTCATAATGAAGGCTGGACTTCCCTCTTGCGAACAATACACAGTATTATCAACCGCACTCCAGACAGCCTGATTGCAGAAATCATTCTTGTGGATGACTTCAGTGACAGAGGTAAGGCCCAAATGGTTTTGTTTGGAAATTTTTTATGAAACATGATTCCTGTTGAAATGAAAGTTTAAGGAAAAACTGAGGAAAAAATAATTGCTAAAGTGCTTTCCTGAACTAATGTTTGATGTTCCTATGGGGGGGGGGGGGGGGGGGGGGGGAAACAACATGTTTTTAATTTGATATAATCTTGCTTTTTTTGCCTCAATGGTGAAAAGAGATTCATTCATCTTTATTGATATGGTATTTTGAATAAATTCTTTCTGAAATACTGTGAATTATTAGGGTTTGAACCTGTTTTTTTTCCTTAATCTTGGTTTTCACTCAGAAAACCTTTAACTTTGGCCAGTTTGGATGTAATTCATTAGACTCCAATCCTGTAATTTCACTGAGTTAGTAAGCTTCATATTTTGGTACAAAGTATCATACAGAGAAATGAGACAGTTTTGATTAGAATGTAAAAAATTGTTTCCAAATTGTTAATCAAAGCTCATGGCATCTCTGTATGGCAAAATTAAGGAAAAATTACATCATCTAATGAATGTAGACATCGTTACTTGAATGCAGTACAAGAATGGGATGCTGTAAAGTTCTGTGTATGAAATTCAACGGTTTCTTAAGTAGAAGTCATACATGACTGTGTTATAGAATTTGGAAGTAATTTATTTTTTCAAATTCATGTATTGTTTATTTATTTAATTTTTTTTAGGACATTAATCATGAAGTGCTTTGTCTTGTTATTCTGTTTGGTTTTGATTTTTTGGGGAGTTGGTTTCTACTGAAACATCAGTTTCTAATGTATATGTGAGCCTTGTTCTGAATAGACTGATACGTAGCAAAGGAGAACAAACCGTGCTCTGTGCTGATCTGAAAGGTTTGTCTCAGCTAGGAGCTTTATAGCAACAGATTTCTGACTTGTTACTATAAGAAGCCCCTCAGTAAACAAGATGAAGTTTATAGCAGGGAAATAACTTGCAGGGAAGTCTTGAAGTTGGCTCTGTGACATTTCTGATTCTGAGAGAGTGGCTATTGAGTCTATTCTTGCTCTTTATGGTAATACTGTAGCATTTCTCTAAGGTAGGTCTTACTGACTGTTTGTTATGTGCTTTAAAATGTATAATTTAGAAAGCTTCTAATTCTCAGTTACTAGAACAAATATTAATGCTACTGATCTGGAATTTTCTCTCTCTTTTCATATATAGATATTATATCTCTATAATATCAATTCCTATAAAAATTAAAGGAATCTTTTAAGTCTTCAGGTTGTATGAGCTTATCTTCTCAGTGGAACAGTTTTCAATTAGAAATGATTTATACAGCATGGAATTGCCTGTCATAGTGTCTGGTTTGAAATTCTGAAAGAAACCTATTCAGGAGGTTTGAATGGAGTTAGGCCTGGAACTATTGTGCTGTGAGGAGAAACTTTGCTCATCTCTTGTTGTTGCTATTATTAAAACGCACATTAGAAATACATTCTTGAATGGTTGCCAATTTTGAGTTTGAGCAGAGTTGTTAGCATAGTTGTGTTTTGGGAAGTATTTTTAACGTGCAAGGAAAATGCACTAATATTTCAACTATCTGAATCAAAAAACTTTGAACTTCAAGTTACATAGAGTCATTTTGGTATCTTTACTATGTTTATTTCTTGTATTTGTTACAACTTAAACTGTGTCTTAAATGAGGCCATATCAAAGGGTTCTTGTGCTTTTTTTTAACCTCATGAAGACACATAGTACAGATGTTTTGTGTTGAAAAAAGTCTGATACACCTTCCCAACTCTCTACTTCCAGTTCATAACACAATCTTTTTAAAAAGTGTTTGAATAAATTCCTAATGTACTGCTATTCTTTTTCCTATTGATGAAATATATCATGTTCAATTGCTGTACAAACATGTAGAAGCATAGCAAGCAAAGTTAAGTGCAGTGTTGAAATGGTGTGGTGATAAATCTGTATCCAATTTTGTAATACCTTACTGAGACTTTATGTCGAAATGCTACTACTTGCTTTTACAAAATGAGTTGTAGTGTATGCGTTATCACTTAATTAGCACTTATGATTTATACTTGTTTTAAAGCTTAGTATTTTAAAGGGTTTTGTACCAGGAACCTAAACATACTTTGTAGATACTTGGAAGTGAGAATGAGGTGTTTCAGTAGTGCTGTTATTTTAACTGTAGAGATTTAAAAGTCTGTGTTTTCCTCTGGGGTTTTCTACTAAACAAACTTACCCTTTTCACAACAGTTTAAGAAGAAATTGTTACCAAGAGACAGTCCTTGTTAGAACTCGAATAGATGAGAAAAAGTAGGAACTTTAAAGGGGTGTTAAAGATAAAAACATTGTAGCTTTTTATTTTCTTAACTAATGCAAATATAAATATGGGTATGCGCATAAAGATCTTTTGATAATGGATGATGAAAATGTTACAGTGCATAGCCAGGTACCCAGCAGTTTGCTGATTTGTCGGCAGAATTACTTCTGCCTTCATTTTATTCATATTCGTTACTTTGTCTCTTGTGATCAAAGTAAAAAAACTTTAGATAGCTCACACATAATATTCACCATAAATTATGATAGCTGGGTGAAAGTGAAAGGAGAGCTGCATCGTTTTAAATGACTACGTAATGCAGATTAGAGACTAGGTAATAGGAATGGGGAAGTAAGCAAATGTTACAAAGCTTGAAAATGTGCTGCACTGTCACAAAAAGAGACAACATAAAAAAAACAACATGATTTTTAAAATGTCTTGGCAGACAGAAGGAAAAGTAGATTTAAATTTTGCAAAATACCTTCATATGATTTTTAGAGAGTTCATATACTAAAGGAATATGGAGGGAAGAAATTTACTACGACAAAAGGGCGGTGTTTTTTTTGTTTGTTTGTTTATGTGGGTAATTTTGTTGGTTTTTTTTTAAATTTGCATTTAATGAACAAATTATATACTGGAGACAGTGAAGGAAACTCAATCCATGAGTTTACAGGAGTACTATGACATTCATGGATGCCCTGTGGAAGGTAGGGGAGTATTAGACTTATTCTGCCTCAGAAAGCTCTTGGGAAGAGAACAGTGTGAGCTGTTTTCTGACTCACATCTGAGAATGATTTTACTTTTTCCAGTTGACTTGGCAGTCCACTCTTCATTAGAGACTTCCACTGAACTTTCATATCTCAACTCTAGGTTCAAGTGCAACAGCTTTTCCACAGAGGGCTGTTAATATTGCTTCATTATTAATAGTAATTCATTGTTATTTAGCATGCACTTTTGCATGGTTAAAGTATGCTGAGTATTTCTAACTCTGTGATGGATTTGGGTTTGCAAATGATTCTAATATCTGATTCATGCTTGCAAGGCGTATATTTCAAACCACATCTAAGTCCTATTAATTTTTCTAAGTATTGCATGACATGGAAAATGAACAACTCTTTGTTGATGTGGAATCTGTGAGATGTCTCTGCAGTGGTTTTGTGTGCACATCCCTCTCATTAGCCTCGCTTTTGGGACAGTAATCCATGTAGAAAGGTTTTGTGTTGTTTTATTGTTTCACTTTGTTTTGTTTTCCTGGAAGGGCTTTTTTTTGCTGTGTGTGAGGTGACTTGTTTAGAGAAGAAGGAGGTTGGCATGCAGGTGAGTTTTATATCAGGAGGGAGAGAAGTTGTTGCTGTTGTTAGCTCCGAAGTTGCTGTATGGTGGCCGGATAGCTGTAACAGTGGCAAAGAGCAGAATTTGAGCAAGAATTAAAGATAAAACTGAACAGGAAGCTAGCTTTCATTTATTCAGTTACAGAACAGTTTGCATTCACAAAGGAATCCTAAAAACCCTAATACATTTTTCAAAACTCTGAGACCAGATAGGTTTGCATCACTAACTTCTGCCTGTGGCAGGTGGATTAGAACTTGACAACCCTCGGAGTCCCTTGCAACCCAAGCCATTCTATTGTTCTTTGATTCTATTCTATTGTTCTTTGATTCTGTTAATGTGTTCAACAAGTGCTGTAGGTTGCCAACATCTTTGCAGATAGCTTTGCACATTGGTTTTTATACCTTTTGTGTTTTAGTCAGCCCTGAGAGCTGCTAATAAAAGTTTGTGCCTGTGCGCGTAAAACTGACTTAACCAAGCACTTTTTAATTCTTGTTGCTTATACTTTATCCTCATAGGAGTTACACCAGCTAGAGAGCTATTGTAAGATACATATAGTGCCACCACCAACAGTGAATTTATTACCAGTAATAATTATTAAAGTTTATTAACTTAAAAAATGTATATATTCTTCTAATGGGGGAGGAATGAAGAAAGATTACAGACTTAGTGGTCAGCACCTTCTTGCAGGAAAGAACTAGTTTCTGTCACTGTCAGTGAACTTGTATTTTGGTAAAGTATAGCTCAGTGGGAAATATTAATTTATGTTGATAAGCTGGTCCCTTCTCATTTTATCATCTGTTATGTTCTCAAGGCTCTGTCCCTTTGCTTAGTTCTGTTTTCTGCACTGCTGCTCGTTTCATGCTTGGAGTGCCATAATATCCCATATCATATAGCGTAGGCTTTATGCCAGATCTCTGTTCTGTGAATAACCCAGATTAATAATGTTTAGGTCAGCTGGAAAAAAACAACCAGATGCATTGATTGATCAGGGCCTGATTTACTTGGCTGGTGGATTTAAATGCTAGAAATGCTCCCTATTTTGTGTGAACAAGGAGAAAGATCTGATCTACCCTAATTACCCAGTTATCATAATAGCCTGACAAAGCCTTTCTGGCCTTTATAGAGGTTGTCTGATCCTGTTTTTTTGTATTTTAATCTGTACTTCTTTAACTGAATGTTGTTGTATATTGATAGGGTAGGGAGTATGTGCTAGAAGCAAAGTAGCTCAGTATGTTGGATAGCATGTATTTCCTAAGTGGCAAGTTGTATTTTGTTGCATGAAGATGTATTTTAACTCTGGATGACTAGTTTATGTAACATATCACTTGTGATTCCAGTTTATCAATGCTTGGCTTCAGATTATAGGC